CCCCCCATGTGCTGAAGGTGTGACAGTGTGACAATAACCTGGCCTTCCCCCCATGAGGCTCTAGAATGCAATTCCCTTCCTCCTAGGGTCTTGTGGTGGTAAACTGAGGCGAGGTAGGGTGATTGGTGGGTCTTTGTCAATCTGGGTGTGGGCCTGGCCTGGGCCCCACTCGCTGAGGTGTGGGGCTCACGGCTGTGTCATTTCTACCTTGTTCTTCAGCGGCTCCCACCCCCCTGGCCAGGCCCAGCACCCCCACCAACCCACCATTCACTCTCCTGTCACCACCCTCTGTCCTACCCTGTGGGTTGCCCCATGTCCAGGCCCTCTCACCATCCAGAACTGTGACCCCTCTCCTGCCTGTGGCATCATTTCTGCTCTTCTTCGGTTGACCAACCTCAGATACTTTTCAGGCACAGATTCTTCAGAGGTTCTTCTGACTTCATCCCTGTCTGGGCTGGGCATCTGGGGATGCTCCCACATCTATCGAGCTTGCCCTGAACCTGACACTCAGGTGCATCCCCTCCAGGCTGTGGGCAGGCAATGGCAGGCCTGCAAAAATGAATGAGTGGGGGGTGAATGCTGAGCCAGATCTGACTTCTACCCACAAATGCTGGCTTCCCATTCGCTCAGGGCTCCTGCCCCCAGCGCCCACCCCTGTAGGAAGTCACAGCCCATACCCCCAATGAGAAACACCCAACCAGTGGCTGCCGAGGAGTAGGTGGGCAAGCGCAGCCCCACACCCCTGATCGCACCCAGGGGAACTTGTTGGACACCATGATGCTTTCTGAGGACCTTTCCCAGTGCACAGCTGCTGGAATGCTCTGGTGCCATATGTCCACGTTCAAGCAGCTGCTCACTTTGCTTCGACTGTGCAGTGGCCACCCTGGCTTGTGAAAAGAAGGAAGAGGGGGAGGGGAGGAAAAGAGGGAGGGCTTCGGGAGCAGGGAAGGAAGCAGGGAGCAGAGAAGAGAGAAGAGAAGAGAGAAGAGAAAGCAAAGAAGGACGCCAGTGCTGCCTTTTGTCTGTGTGGTGACAACCACTGCTGCTCAGAGACCTCTGGACACCTGCCTGCACTTCCTGCTTGCCAAGGAGACCTTGGGAGTTGTGTGAAACAAACTAGTAGGAGCTCTTGTAAAGAAGGGACAGTGTGTTTGTCTGTAGCCATGACCCTGCCCAACGGCCGAGAGCGACCCTGGGGAAGGAGGGAAGACGCAGAAGCCGCCCCATGGGGTCTGCGGGGGATCCCAGGCCCTGCGCCCAGCAGACACCATCCATTCACCCCGGCACTCACGTGCTCATTCCCTCCTCTGGTCCTGCAACAAGAACTTATTTATGCCAATGTGGACACCCATGCTTATGGCACCACTATTCCCAGCAGCCAAAAGGTGGAAACAATCCAGCTTGTCTATCAGGGGCAAGAGAATAGACAAGACGTGGTCTATACATACAATGGAATATTGCTCAGCCTTAAAAGTAAGGAAATCCTCACACACGCTACAACGTGGATGAACCTTAAGGGCATCATGCTAAGCGAAATAAACCCGTCACAAAAAGACAAACACTGTGTGATTCCACTGACACGAGGTTCCGAGAGTGGCCGAGCACACAGGCGGAGAGCAGAACGGCCTGCAGGGGCTCCGTGAGGGGTTGGGAGTCAGTGTTTAACGGGTGCAGTTTTCTAGGATGAAAAGATTATAAGAACGGATGGATGGTGGAGATGGCTCTATAACGACGTGAACGTATTTAATTCCACTGAACTGTACACTTAAAAATGGTTCATGGTAAACTTTATGTTATGTATATTTTAGCACAATAAAAGAAATTGTTAAAAATACATACGCTCTTGCTGTATTCACTGAATATTCATAGATACAGCACATCCGGCAGCAAAAGCACACCTGGCGCCCTCCCTGTGGACTATAAATATCATTTTTCCCACTGAAAGGAACCAGGGGTCCACAGATAAAGGGCTGGTCTATGTCTGGGGCAGAAAATGTATAAGATGAGTCTGGAGCTTCCTGTTATCACTGACAGCAAGGAAGTGACAAGGAATACAGGGTGCGTGTGACAAGAACACAGGGGCCAATAAAAGACTTCCTGTGGCTGAGTATGGGATAATTGGACCAACAATAACCGCAATGGATTGAAATACATCAACTATTTGAAAAGCTGAAGATTTCATTTTATTTTATTTTTCATTGAAGAATATGTAGAAATTTATTTCAAGTTTCTCAAGGAGGAAGGGGGAGTGGGGTTGACACTATACAAAACAGCAAAAACTGTAAAATCTTTGAATAGCTCTGCTCCCAACGTTCTACTGGAGGCCAAATTACTTTTATTTTCTCATAAAAAAATGAAGACTTCCATCTTTCTCTTTACCACTCCTCTCATCCCCACCCTTAGTTCTTTTCCTCTGCAACCCTTCATCCCATCACCTGTCATTTAATCGTTGCTGTCATTTTACATTTGTTCATCTGGGTGGGGAAGAGGGGGGAGGAAGGTACAAGGGAGGCAAAGTTGAGCCGGGAAGATGGTTATGGCTTTGGTGTGTTCTGGACAATCTTTTAATTCCTCTTAAATTAATGTCTGTGTGGTCATTTATTATTAAAGTTATAGACCTGTTATATTCTTCAGTTTTATAATTGGTCTGATAAGATTTTCACAAATAAAATATTTTAAAGCAAAAAAATAAAAATCCGTCTCCCACATAGGGAAAAAAAAGTTATTTGTGACAATGCCATAAGGAGACCCAAGCAAGACTCCACTTACAATTGTAAGCACGACCTTGAGTGCCTTGTCCAGCTCCTCCGTGTTCAGGTGGGTTCCGATGGAATGGAATTCACCCCTGGCTCCAGGGTCTTCTGTCAGGCCCTTCTCACATGGATCCTTCGGGCATGCAGAGCCCCGGCTCACCTTTTTTGGCTTCCTCCTTGAACTGCTGCTTGTAGTCCAGAAAAGCCACCATTGCCTGGTCCAGCTTGTGATACAAGAGAGCACTCTGCCCCCTGGTACAGAACATGGGCAGCTCCACGGGGTCCTTGTTAAAGACTTTGGGTAGGAGTGGCCTCTGCAGGGGATGGGCCGGTGCCTCTGGAACAGCAGACCAGCTGGGTGAGCCGGGGCCAGGAGCAGCAAGGCTGTCTGCCTCCGGGCTGCGTCAGTCTCACTCCAGCTCTCGAGGACAGTGGGGATGCAGCCCGATCTGAAGTTACCAGTGATGGCCAAGGGGGTCATCATGGAGGGTGGCAAACTTTGACCTGAAGACGCTGGTTTTCTCCAGCCGGCCTAGCTGGGTCTGGGCTCACTGCAGCGGGCCCTCCACCCTCCTCCGTTCGTCATGCGGTTCCAGTTGTTGCCAGTGTAGTTCGCTGTGGTCCCCATGGTGCTGCCTTTCTTCCAGCGCCACGTCCTTAAGTCCTCCGCTCCCCCTGGCAGTGTCTCCCTCTCGTCCTCACTTACTCTCTCCCTGGTCTCCAGTGTTTGCAGGCCTCGCCCAGGGGATGGTCCAGATTTCCTTCACCAGAAAGGATGGAACAAATCCTTCCAGATGTTATTGAGAGTCCTCCCAGAGCCCAGCTTCCTAAGCAGGGTCAAGCTGCTGGAACTGTACCTGGGCATCTTGCCATCGCCGGGGAGGGTCCTGCCAGAGGTACGATCTTGTAGCTCTTCAACATCTGTCTTTCCCTGGAGCTAGAGTCTTCTCTGGAGTTTCTCCTGGCTCCCCCTGAGCTGAGGGGAGCTTCAAAGCTGTAGGTTCTTGGCTGTGGTCAAGGCCGGAGGTTTCCTTGGACCAAGTCAGCTTCAGGGACTCGTAACACCATTGGCAAGTGAAATGGATGGAGGACATGGTGGAGGTCTTGACTTTCAACTTTGCTTCTAAGTTTCCTCTGGCTCCCCAGTTACTTCTGCATTTATACTTTGTAAGGTCCTTGAGAGGAGTGATTCTTTAAAAATGCATATCTCATCTGTCACTCTCCCACTTCAAACCTTACAGTGATACCCTGAAGATTTTATATATTAAGAAAAGCTCATTATACTCATACATGGCTTAACAACTGGGTTATGTTCTGAGAAATGTGTTGTTAGGCAATTTCATCATCAGCGAACATCAGAGAATGACTTACACAAACCTAAGTATACTAGCCACACACCCAGTACAGCCTATTGCTCGTGGGCTACAAGCCTGTACAGCATGTTACTGTACAAAATAACATGAGATTAAATTAAGCACAAGAGAAAATGCTGTAATCAAGAGACGCAGTAAACATGAGCTGCATGAGTCTGCTGCCTGCATTACATGCTACTGTTTTACAACAAACTTATTATTATTATTATTATTTTTTAAAATATATCTTTATTGATTTCCGAGAGAGGAAAGGAGAGGGAGAAAGAGAGAGAGAGAAACATCAATGATGATGTGCCCTGACCCGGAATCGAACCCTGATTGCCTGGATCCTAGGTGGACGCTCAACCGCTGAGCCACTCCCGGCTGGGCTCAAACTTATTTTTTTTAAAGTTGAAAGAATGCATTCTAAAAATCATGATAAAAAATGTAGCATAGCAACTACATAACCCAATAACAGTCATTTATTAGCATTATCAAGTATTACGTACTGTACATAATTGTACGTGCTATACTTTTATACGACTGGCAGCCCAGTAGGTCTGTTTACAGCAACATCTCCACAAACACATGAGGAACAAGTTGCACTATGGCTAATGCACCATAAGATGTTAGGAATGTTCCAGGCCCATTATAATCTTACTGGACCACTGCCCTATATGTGGTCCATCAGTGACGGAAACACGCAGCACATCGCTGTAGTTGCATTTGAAGGACGCTAGGTGTTATGGGCTGAGTGGGTCTCCCTACTCCAATTCATATGTTAAAAGGCTAACCTCCAAAGTTATGGGTTGGTGAAGAGAAGGGACAGGCTGGGGGCTTCATTCTGCATGGAACTCTGGGAAATAGTCCTGGGACCCCCATGTGCTCCCCTTTCTCCTCAAGGAGGAGCTTTCTCCCAATGTCAGCTGCCAGGGATGCTTGTGAGGGGTGAGCTTTTCATCAAGGGAGGTGTGCAACGCAATGGACCGGAGGAAGACTGCTGTGACAGGTAGGGCTGTGTCTGAGGACACCACTAGCCCTCAGAGTCAGGGTTTGTCTCTCCAGTCCATAAACAAGGACACTGAAGCTAAGGATAAGTGCATGAGAGTCAAATTGTCATTTCTGGGCCCCCAAACTGCAAGGCCACCCACGCTGCCTGTGGTGTCTGTGCTGGTGGCTGAGGCGTGGACAGTGAGCAGGACTCAAGCTCTGACACCGACAATGCCATTTGCTGCCTGGACACAAGCATGCACCCAGTGTCCCTGTATGAAGGGAACTGCAGGGGACACATGGGAGTGTCCCATGCATGTTTGTACCCTTACCCTTTTGGTCCTTGTCTTCAGGACAAGCCACTGTTCACTGCCGTCTTCACTACAAAGTGCTGTTTGTGAGTTTTTAAAAAACGCACTTTCTCTGAGTGACTCATGCATTTAAAATTATTTTAATATATTTTACACACTCATGTATAAATGGGGCCATGTGTTTCTCTTTATTAAAGGCGGCTTATTTGGGCTGGTCATCATAGACCAGGAGGCTCACAGTGAGGCCCAGAATGGTAAACAGTGTGGAAGGCAGCTCTGCCACATGGATCCTGGTGGCGCCTGTGCCCTGTGTCCCCTCTGCGGTGCCGCTGACCCCAGGGCTGGAGCATGCAGGCTGCAGGCTTCCTGCACACAGCAGTGTGAGATGCCAGCCTGGGGGCCCTGGGGCCTGCTCCAAGGCCATAGGAAAGGGCCAGCCAGGTAAAACTATTGTTGGGTCCTGGTCTACACACTGCAGGCCCAGGAGT